TTACGGACTTGTACGCGCGCAATAATATTTTAATACACGGAAAATAGAATTTATACCAAAAGCAAAAAGTATTAAAAGTGTCGTAATAATTTTAATTATTAGCTCCGATAGGATATATTGCTTATTATAATGTTTAAATAATGAAATCTGTCTGTTTTGTTTTTTACTTCATTTTCTGAAAAAAGCGTAGACTACATTAGATACATTAATTATCTTATCATTTCCTAGGTTATTAACCCAAAGGGGTGTTAGAGACAAAGAGCTATTAGTTTCAAAACGGCATTTTGGGTCGTTTCATTTTCTGCTTCGGTTCACTTTTCAAACTGTTGCCACTAAATATTATCGCCATGTATTATATTTAAAAAAACTAAATTATGAAGAATCTGCACGAATGTTTCTAGCATTGTGAAAAACAACGGAACCTAGAGCCATCAAATTTTGAATAACGTAGTCCTCCTACTGAAGATGGGCATTTGGAAGTCCGAATTTTGAATTTCAAATTTGTTTTATTATCTATTTCAAATTTTGTAAAACTTAACTAAATTTTTGATTAAAAGACTCAACGATTTCAAAGTCAGCAATGGCATCACTGTACGTAAAGAAAATTTATCTCCAACCCGCAAGACTGTCTATCGGGAATTCTAAAGATATGCTGTTTCTAAATATTTTGTGATATTGTTATTGAATTGAATTTTGTGTGGTTTAAGTGCGAAGAACATGATATTTAATAAATAAAGGTAACACACACAACTTTAATAAAACGCCCTTTTGGGCGTAATGTAAAATCTGAAAGCTTTCAGATTTGCATTTTTTTTTTTATTTAATTATTTTAACTTTATTCATTTAAGAAAATCAGGAAGTCCTTAACCTTCTTCCTCCAGCTTTTTTCTATGAATTTTTAAGAATTCATATACTGTTTTAGAAGCAGTGTCATGTATTTGAAAATTATCTTTTTTGTTTCTTCTTTGAATCTCCTTTCAGAATCAATGTTACTGACATTGATGTACAAATTAATTCTTTTGTTTGCAATAAAAGTAATTTTTATTCGTGCTTTCATTTAAGGCAGTCTTCAATCAATAGCGCTGAAACGCTTCTTTACCATAATCTCTCATATTCATACTGTTTTAATAATCACATTCGTACTGTTCTTTACCATAATCTCATTCATTCATAAAATTTTATGTTTCTTTATTTATTCAATTATACTAAATAAAGAAATTTTCTTTATCAGTTCGTTTACATAATGATACTAAATCGATAAGCGCAGTTATCGTAGTCATTATAAAATGCAGATAATGGTGTGTAAATTGATGATTGCAAGATCCAAAGGTGTCATTTTCTAATCTTATCAGCAGGTTAAAAGGATAACTAAGAATTATCAGATGATATCTTTGGTGATATGGAATACTGAGCAGAATTAACATTTTCCTCAAGATTTTCTTTATTTGACTTTTTAAATAAATTTACTAACGGAAAAAAGCAGTAAATAATGCCCTTTAGTCAGATATTCTTATTTGGTAAGCATTCAGATTATAGCTCGATTACGTTAATAGCTTATAACCATCTCAACTTAAGGAGGAGGTTTCAGTTTTCTTTTTGATGGGCATTTTATTTACCCTAAAGCATGACAATAAAAAGAAGAAAATAAAAGGGTTATATACAGCATCATCATTATTCCTTTTTTTTTTTTTTTTACTGCCATATGCGTTAGAATTTCTAAAATTAAACGATTTTTCAGGTAATAACTAAGACCCATCTGATCAACTTATAAATATTTTGAAAATAATAATCTTTTGTTGTTAAAGACATTTCTTTCAATCAATATGACGTTACATTCTCATTTTCGAATAATCTTTTACTATAAAAAATTTTTAAAACCGCATTACTGAAACAGCTGTTGTTTGTATGGAATTTCTCAGCGTAAAGTTTGAGTGACTTTTATAGCTTTTCTTGAAGAATTTTATTTTTTATTAGAAATGTTCAAGTACGAGGAACTTCAAACCAAACGTAAGCTTAATCCCCTATTTCTTTCATACTACTGAAAAGTTCTTTTCCTAAATTAGGGTTAATAATTTTTAGTCCAGAGGGGAAATTTGCCAAGAATGACTATTAATTTCGTTTTGGCATTTTGCGTGGATTCACGATAAGCGTTGTTTCTCTTTTCAAATTGTTGCCACCAAATATTAGAGCCCTGTGTTATATTTAAAGAGATTAAATAATGAAGAATCTGCATGTTTATCGCAATTCGATAAACGTGAATGCATGTATGTTTCTCGCATTGCGATAAAACAAAGCTACCTATAGCCATCACAATTTGAATAACGTAATCTTCCATAGAATATGGGCATGTGGAAGCCTTAATTTGAATTTGAAATTTTTTTTATTATCGATTTCATATATTGTAACACTTAACAAATTTTTGATTAACAAATTAAACGATTTCAAAACGATCAATGGCAACACTGTACTGGAGGGAGGGGGGATATCTCTAGCGCGCGAGACTGTGTATCAGAAATTCTAAAGATATGTTCATTTAAAATTATTTTGCGATATTACTGTTGAACTGAATTTTTTGGTTTAAGTGCGAAGAACATGATATTTATTAAATAAAGGTAACACACAGAATATTAAAAAAAAAAAAAAAAAAAAAAAAAAAAACGCCCATTTGGACGTAATTTAAAATCTGAAACCTTTCAGATTTTCTTTTTTTCTTTTTTTCACTGCTTTTTTTTTAAAGTTATATTTCAGTCTGCGGGTTTATACACTTGTGGTTTTCCTCCGATTTTTCTGCGTCAGATCATCATTAGCACTTTCAGTAACATTTAAACACGCTTAAAGTTTATTACATCTATTTACTGTTTTGCTTTCGTCTTAATCAGAGATCAAACAAACATTTTATTATAAGCTTGAATTTAAAATACAGGGTTTTTACTTTTGTAAATATTGTCTGCACGTGTGGTTAATTCCAGATAATTTCATTTTCCAGTCTAAATATCTGTACTTTTCTAAATATCGTCTTCTTATTAATTGCATTTTTCTCTCTTTTCTTTTCTGCATTGTTAATCGCCATAATGTGCGCATATGGGAATCTGAAAACCCGCATGAATACTGTGAGGTACAAAGGGATTCCGCAAAGGTTAATGTGTGGTGTGGACTAATGCACGACCGAGTCATTGGGCCTTTCTTTTTTAGAGAAAAGACTGTCTCATCAGTCGTATACTTAGACATGTTGGAAAACTTCGTATTTCCACAACTAGAAGAGCTTCAGCCACGTGTCTTTTTGCAACAAGATGGTGCACCACCTCATTGGGGTACCATCGTTCGTAGTTCTTTGAATGACCATTTTACAGGAAGATGGATTGGGCGAGAAGGTCCAATTCCTTGGCCACCCAGATCACCTGATATAACGTCGCTGGACGTTTTCCTTTGGGGATTTGTAAAGGACAACGTTTACAGGAGGAGAGTGTCGAACATTGATGACCTAAAAGCCAGAATTACAACCGCAATAGCCACTGTTGATGCCGACATGCTTACCGGTACCTTGAATATCGACTTTCAGTAACATTTAAACACGCTTAAAGTTTATTACATCTATTTACTGTTTTGCTCCGTGCGACGAAGGGAGCACACGTGAAAGTTCATTAACAAGGGTCATGAAACTTTTTGAGTCTATCTAATCATTTATGTTATTACTTTTAATCTATCTTTATTATTTTATGAGTTATTAAACATCAAAATGGGTCCGGGACTTTATAAACACCCTGTATTATCAAATGCATACACACACTTAAATGCGAATGACTGGGCCTCTTGAATATTGATTTATTATATGCTAATAGATAAACAGCTAGAAAAAGAGGAAAAAAATAGTGCAGACAATATAGGAATTTAATGAATTGTACTCCCTCATAACCGCCGAATCAGAAAGTATAGAAATTTGATGAATTATGCTCTCTCATAATTGCCGACTAAAGTCTATATGACAAATGCACCAGGTTTTAAAAATATAAGATTAATGATTAAGTAATATTTTAGACAAAGTGAGTAAGAAATGGCAGCACAGTTCGTTTGGTTTGCTACATACGTAAAATATTGTTACGAATTTCGTATTTAGTTAGACATTTTTAGTAGAATTATAATTTAAATTGTTTTATATCCACGTGCAATGCAGCACGAGACTTATTTTAAGAGAAAGCTACTCCGGAAAATAAAAATACAGGAGCACGTGCATTTAATATTTATAATAAATAGATATCTCCTAATTCTACTTTTTTGCTTTCCAGAAATCTCGAGAAAACGGAAATTGCTAGAACTATCTCTCGTGGCCGATTTAAAAAGCTATTAACTTCATTAAATTAAAAAAAATTAAAATTAAAACTTTTATACGATTTAAAAAGCTATATATAGAAAAACATCTCAGTTGAGTTGTTTACTCAGTTGTTGTTGTGTACTTAGCTACTGTAATTTTGATAGCAGATTAGCTTTCTCTGCTATCAAAATAGTAATAGTTACTAATATACAAAATAGTTACTAATTTTTGATAGCAGATTAGCTTTCTATTTAATTTCTCTGGATTGCGTTCTATTTAACGTTTTAGTAGCTTAAAATATAACTACTTTGTGATATTGTACGAATATCTTTGAGGAAAAAGCATAGAGTTTTGTTAAATTTCTTGTGTTAAGAGTAAATTTTATTAATTTTTTATCGGACTTGTGCATTCAGTCTATTACGAACCCGTACGCATGCAACAATATTTTATCTTGATATCGAAATTAAAGATTTGACAAGCCGCTTTAATCAATATTTGATGGTCTTGAACTTGATTGACCATTATAGGAAAATATTAAAATTATTAGTACCAATATTTGTTTGCGTACTTATGAAATACTGATTAATTTCAGAAATGGTCATCTTTGAGATACGATCGCTACGAAAAGTTTCATTGCGTTTAAATCCCACAAAGATGTATTTTCATAAGCTGAATTTATGTAAAGGTTAAATTTAAATGACAATATTTAAGAAGATATACTAATAATCTCACTCTTCTTGTGAAACTGTGTAAGAGCTTTAAATCGCTTTTCAGCTGTTTTCCATTTTGTGTAAATCTAAACATCCATTCAGCCCAGTGATGCGGATTCACCATCCTTTCCATGGTGATTTCTGATGCTCTAAAAACATGAAAAATAGTACAATAAAATATTTAAATAGACATTTATTTACTACACTTTACGTACAGGTAACAACTATCTTAAATTAGTTTAATGAAATTCTATAATAAATCCTATTTTAATTCTATGGTGATTTCTGATGCTCTAAAAGCATGAAAATTAGTACAATAAAATATTTAAATAGACAATTTATTTACTACACTTTACGTACAGGTAATTTAGTTTAATGAAATTCTATAATAAATCCTATTTTATTTAGTAGTTTAGATTAAAGCATGCTTTTAAATTGTTGGAAATTTGCATTTTTATTCCTTGCGGCTGCGCTGAGCAGGAGAAGTATATAATCTTGCAGCGCTGAGCAGAAGGAAAAAAGTATATAATCTCGCAGTAGAAACCTTCCGATGGTTGTTTTGCATTATGATCTTCGTGACCAGGCTAACCAATCAGAAAGCGGAACTTCGCGAAATGACTTCCCTCAATCGTAGATTTCATTTTCTACTCATTCTAGGAATTCATTCATTACTTCAACGCATATACAGTCAGGCATCTTCTCTAAATGAAGGAAGGTGCTTCGCAGTCTTTGCTCCATCTGTATCTGCATCTCCTGGAGAAAGAGTCGCTGATGTTTTTCACTTCCGCCAGGCCCGTTTGGGACTCATTAAGGAACTGGTAAGAGAAGGAAAGGAAATCTGCTGTGGACCAGTATGTTACAAAAGTATTAAAGTATCTTCCGGTGTTAGTGAAGACTGTGTGTTCTTCCGACGGTGGTGAAGACTGTGAGTCTTCGCGACATGTGCCTTATCGAAGCGGCCAACAGCCGCGAATCATTCCGTGGTGTGGCGATTTCAAGGCATAGAAACCTGATGTAGAAGATTAGATTGGAACAGAAATCTAGCAATGTATCTCGGGTAATTTACTAAGTTGCCAAGTACCTGACTAAATGAACTGTCAAGTAGACTCATGTTGTAACAGTCAAATACATTTCATCTGATATTCATAACATGGTTTTACTAACGTGTCATTAGTTTGACATGATATATTCATCAATTTTTGTCAAGTTCAAGGAAAGCACTCGTTAAAATCTTATGTTTTCAACTTACGGCAAGTGTACTCCTTTGGTAGGGAACTACGTTTTCATACTACTGCGTATCACTCTCACGAACCATCAAAAATTTAAAACAACGTAAGGTTATTAATTTATAATATTTTAAAGCGCTAATTCTTCCACATATTTGTCATATAAGATAAAAGTATTTTCAGTTTCATAAACGGTTCTTAAAAGAAAACGTTGAAAATCAATTTAGATTTTTTTTGTGACTTTCTTGTTTTTCAGTAAAAATTGATTTTAGAAATCGCAGGGGGGTATGCAGCTTTCGAAATATTCTGAGAATTAGTGAAACGTGCACATTTTAGAAATGAGGCAGGGATGGGACCTTTTAATCCGATTTTAAATTTCAAACACATTTCGATGCGTGTTAAATAGTTTTTCGTATCACTTATGAAGACTTTTCAATGGAGAATTCATGGACTAAAAATTTAATTATATCTTGATGTAATGCTCGTATTACACCGATAGGGATATGATTACGCTTGTATTAAGTACATGCACTACATAATAGTTAAATTCAAAATCTTTATGGTAACCAGTAATGTTTTTATAAGGTTATCCCTAGAAAATACCTCTGATTTATGTTTTAGACCTTAAAAATATTTTTATAATTTTTTAAAGTTTACGATTTAACTCTTTTTGGGTCACCATAACCTACACTAAAACGAGTTTCATAAGAGATGTAAGGAATCAGTTCGATAAAATATTTCCAAAACATTAAAATATTAACTTCTGAAAGTCATATTTTCAGAGGATAACTTGTAATATAACTTTCAATAAAACTTTCGAAGAAATATTTTCACCAAAATATTCAGTTCATTTTGCTCCAGTTTAAGAAATTTACCATGTTTGTTCTGGAATTTCTTTTAGCAGTTAGCTTTCTGAATACGTTTTACTTAAAAGCTATTTTAGCTGATAATTACGTTTAAATGATGTTGAAAAAATATCCAGTTTTCTTAATCACCAAAACGACATTTTTAAAAAAACATTTGGAATTAACAGACGGATCAATTCTTTTAGGAAAAGTATTGATCAAGGCAAGCTAACAGTGTTTTCCTAGGTTTCCTTAAACCTTCGATTAAACTTTTACTTTTTGTTCATATGTTGTAATAACTACTAACCAACTCAATGTCAGGAAGGAATAAAACGTTCTTCAGGTTTCTTCGTTCTTCAAGGTTTTTGTGCAAACATTCTAAATGAATAATCTCTTATTTTTAATTGTTTGAATAATACATTAAGCTTTTTTAAAAATGCAACTTCTGATGGTGGAAAATATTAATATAGCTTATATTAAAGTCAATTCTAGAGCGAGACAATAGCTTTGATGTGATCGAAACAGTAAAAAAAACCGTGCTTCATGTGGTTAAAATTCTTACGTAGCAGAGAAGTTTTTTTTTAATATAAGCTATATTAATGCTTCTGTGTGCAAGATCCAATTAAGACTGTTTGAAGATCTAGGCAAAGAATTCCTTCAAGGACCAGCAGCGCCAATTTTACAAGAATTCCAATTGTTTGGAAAGAGCAGGATTATAAAAAAATTAAGTGTGATTATTTTAAGGACCCTTAAATTTAGATCTAAATCATTCCAGTTCTAGCAGGTCTAGATGATAATCAGAACCCGTTCGTGCAAAAAAGAATAGTTACAAGACAGGAATAATTTTATAAATAAGAAAACAACTGAATATTAGCTGAACTCAAATCGAATGCTATTATTTCCAACATGCTGAAATATAGTGTACTGGATTTTCGGAATATCTTTTCTATGAAAAATTTCAGGAGACCGTAGAATGCGTCTTGTTCATTAACTTAGATAAGTCGAGCAGTGAAGAACATTTTTTGATTACTTCCATGTTTGATTCATTTTGGTTCTACGTTTTGCTTTATGTTTGTAAATTAAAGATAATAAGATAACGTTGATGAAAATACAGTGAATATTGTTCACTATAAACTTCTGAATTAATCGTTTGATTTAGCTCTAACAGTTCAAAACGTCCTGAACGTGGTTCATCATCAATGCTGCTTTTTCCAAATTTAAATTTTTTAAACCATTTCTGGGCAGTCCTTACACTAATAGTGTGTTCACCATGTACACTATTGATTTTTATCGCTGAAAACCTGGCAGATTCATCACACGAAAATAAAAAATGTAGCACAGCACGTTTGTACTGATTATCTATATTTATCTTCTATGGGTACTAAAATGCGTTCGATATTTACGAAAGTTGGTGATGAACTGAATAATATGTTAGTCAAACGATGACAAGTTTCAACAGGTTCAAAATTGTATTGTTTTAGTAAATGCGCCATAGTAGTGAATTCCACGCATACTCTTAATACGTGCGAGCTTATGGACTGACCCAATACAATTACCTAAAGAATTGTTATGCTCATAGTTGTCAGAGTTTGGAGACTTCTGAAAATTTGGCGATTTCTACAAAGGTGGTTGCAGTAATACGTTAAGTACCAAATATATGTTATAATAAGGTAAGAAATTTTTATGAAAATATTCCTAAACAGGGAATAAAAGTGTTCTTAAAACGTAAAAATCTAACTTTTTATATGGTTTCTATATAACTTAATATCCAGTCAATAAAATCTTCATAATTCTTTGATAATATAAAAAAGATTAATACTTTTACTGGCAAAATTTAATAAAGTATTGCAAACCCAATTTACTGACATTACTTTTCAGCATATATTACGGAGAAAATTTAATTTTTTTTTTGTATTTTTTAAGGAAACAACTTTCCTCATTTTGGTTATTAATAGCTCCGTAATAGACAAAATGGCATTAGGTAATTTCTTCACTTTTAATTCTATTAATTATTAATATCTTAGTGAAATTTCCAGTACAATTTACACAAAAATTCAAATACATTCACACAAATACACAAAATACACAAAAATTCACAAATACAAAAAAATTCAAATAAATTTCAAAACACATTTTCCAATGTGTTTTGAAATGTATTTGAATTTACTTAGAAAAGCGCCCACCAGCGGCCGAGCGGTAAAACTGCGAAACACTGCTAGTTCAGTCTGAGTTTTGAATCCCGGTGAGCGGGCTGGCTGCATGGGCATTTTCGTGGTTTTTTCCAATGTGTAACATGTGCATCAGCCAGTTTGCCTTAGAAAGGTCCTCCAAAAAGTTATCCTTCTTCTTAGGCGCATAGCCCTCCAGTGCTCTTCCATATTAAAAAAAATACCAAACCAAATACTTAGAATAACGTAATGGACGTTTCATTAACAGGACGCGTTTTGCTTTATGGAGATCATATAAAAATTTAAATTTGGCATTTACAAAACTCTTCTGTTTCTAATTTTGAAACTGCTTTACCAAAATATTAACCGTATTTTAAGAAACTTTATTACTGTGAATAAGTATCTAAAATCAATAGGAATAAATCCCATAGCCAGATTTTTCGAGCACCCTGTATATCTTTATCGCTGAAAAATACATTTTCCTAAATAATTATTTAAGTAAGGTTTGAAAAATTTTTAAATTTCAATAGAAAAAGATTCAGTGGTTAACGTATCTCCCTATATAAAGATATATTAAATTCTCGAAGTATCACATAAAAAGAACAGAACTTGCCTTAAGACGGACTTCACATACTGGGATTCACTATTTTGTTGAGCTCCGAAGGTAACGCCTAGTGTAGTCTCTAAAACAGAAAAAAAATATATTACAGTTTATTAATTATTTAATATATTAATAAATATATTAAAGTATATTTAAAGTATATATTATAATATATTAAAGTTTCATTAGTATAACTACACAGAAATAAATAAAGGGCAAATATAGTTTAATAGAATTTGTCATCTTGAGCTTAAGATAAAAAAAATTAATGTACAATTTATAATTTGTTTGCGCTGAAATATTTAACAAAATACTGAAAAAGTAAATATACACAGAAACATTCAGACATTCATTAATATCTATCTGTGATATTAAAAATAAACAGCTTTAAAGCGAAAAATGGGAGAAACAGAAATAAGAGAGAATGTAAAAGTTCAAACGCAGGTTCAAAACGTGTTGTTTCCATTATATTAGATTAACCAAAACAGGGGTAATTGGCTTCCAGTTTTAATATTTAGCTGCCATAAGGAAAAAAAAATACGCATTTTATGCGTAATTGAATTAGAAACTTAGTACTTTATTTCAGAAGCTCACAGTGTTGAAAATCACCATAGAAAAATAAAAATCACTGAATTATATGAAATAAATAGTAATGTAAATAATATAGGAGATAGTTAAATGGCAATTATAGCAAATACAGTTTTAGACGGAATAATTAAATATTAATAATAGAACAAAATCATTATTTATGCTGTAATAAGTTTCAAGATTTGTTTTCTTTTATCATTTCTTTTTCTTTTTATTTCTTTTTCTTTACACTCTTTTCTTTTCCTTTTTTAGCCCAAAGAGGCGTTAGCCCAGAAGGGCTATTAGTCTCGAAATGGCATTTTGCAAGGAATCAGTTTTCAAATAGCTGTCACTAAATATTATAGCCCTGTGAGTTATTTTAAACAATTACATAATGAAGAATCTGCATGCATGTATGGTATATTTCTCGCACTGTGAAAAAACAATGATACCTAGAGCCATCAAATTTTAAATAATATAGTCCTTCATCTGAACATGGGCACCTGGAAGCAAAAATCTTGAATTTCGAATTCGTTTCATTGTGTATTTCATATTTTTTTAAGCTTTAGCGAATTTTTGGTTAAGAAACTCTATAACCAGGGAGAGACTCTCTATCGGAAATTCTAAAAATATGCTGTTTTAAAATTTTTTTTTAGCCCAAAGGAGGCGTTAATCCAAATGCTCTCGACGCGTGTACGCATGTGTAAATGAAAAAATGAACTTTCCGACCCCCCCACCTTCAAGTCATTATTTAAAGAATTACCCAGTTCAATCTCCTATTGTTTAAATAATCTACGCTTGCAAAGACGTGCAGAGTAGCTACATATAACTATCAGAAACTTTTGAAAACATTTTGTTAAGGGTGTTTTTATGTCAAAAGAAAGTAAGTAAAATACAGAATTTTGTATCCTTCAAATGAAGACAAAGCAAAAACATTTTTAAGATCGCCTTTTTCATAAACTCTCCATACTGGTAAATTAATTTGATATCATTTCTTTTAAGTCATATAAAAAGACTACTTAGTTTGGCATTTGAGAAAGTTTAAATGCTCTGTAGCTCACGATACTGTGTATTAATATTTAGAATCAACTTCAAGAAAAATGATTTTATTCAAAGTAACTACAATTAAACTTCATAGTTTAATATTAGCATTTTTTTTTCTGAAGCTTCACAGTTAACAAAAATTATGCGTTTGATTATTTGCAGATAATTTTGATCTATTGTAGTAACAGAATAAAAATTTATTTATTCATTCTTCAACAATTCAGACTATAACATTTTCTTCTGTCATCTACGTATACAGCTGCGAAAATTTGTGTCTGAGATTTGTTATCTGATATAGTATTACTCTGCACAAACGCATGCTTTGCATTCAAATATAAGTGCGTTTTTAACGAATAGTATTTTAACTAAATTTTAATACATATCTTGAATTATCTGAAAGAATTATTCATTGGTTTAGAAGATATACTAATTAAAATTTTGTGCGTTAAATAATAATAATGCATGTAACAAATTTAAACATCTGAGCTTACCAGTTTCAACTCCTATTGCTGCTGTAAGCATGAATATTATTACTTATAATAAAATAGTATATATATATATATATATATAAGTGTATATATATCATGTTTATATTTAGCATTCTTTGACCTATAGTTATTAACACCTTTTTATATTATTGCTTTAAACTCAGAAATGTTGCAAAAGTTAGCCATCTCATTCGGCAAAGACTTTTGTTACTAATTTGGATATATTGGAAGATAGTTTGGAAATTCTGTTGGATTGCATAAAGAATACTTTTCATCTGAGCTTATACTATGGATGATAGGAGTATAGTCCCCAAAATAGTACACGTAGCTTATAAAATATGAGAGATGTGTCTTAAAAATGAAAAATGTTATAAAAGTAATTTTTCTCACGTAAACTTCTTAAATTTCTCTATAACCAGAAGAAATTCCAGTTCAGTGGAAGATATTCAGTGATTTGAGCTTTGAGTCCTGAAGTTGAGGCTCAAATAATAAAAATTGTATTTGAAGTTAATTATAACTTCGAATTAAGTTCTTTTTAAAATTTAAAAAGCGATATATTTCTACGCAATTTTAGGAAATTTAGGCTAATTACAATATGTCTCATCAAACGTGAAAAGCCTTTCAAATGATGATTCTTCCCAAAACTTTGTTTTTTTATATTTAAAGAAAGTGTTAAAAAATTTAGCACTATAAGAAATATAAATGCTCGTATCAGTTTGAAATAATTCAACATAAATGAATCCATACTGAATATTTTACTAACTGGTAATTTCATTTTGCAGGGAACACGCAAAAATTTAGATTTTATTAGCCCAGAAGAGCATAAGTCCGAATAGGCTATTAGCCCCGAAACAGGATTTTGCGTGAATTTTGCGTGAATTTGTGTGAAATACTTTCAAATTGTTGCCACCAAATACTATCGCCTTGTATTATTTTTAAAGAAATGAAATTAAATTATGGAGAATCTGTTTATATGTACGTATGCTCCTCGTTCTGTAAAAAAAGACGATACCAAATTTTTTATATCATATTTTGTAAAACTTTAATGAATTTTCGGTTAACAAACTCAATGATTTGAAAGCGAACACTGTACGGAATAAAATATGTTAAACCCCAGCTCACGATACGGATTATCCGTCGGAAATTCTAAACATATGCTGTTTTAAAATAGTTTGTGATTTTTCTGTTGAGTTGAAGTTTACGTCACATAAGTGCGAAGAAAGGGCTATTTAATAAATGAAATTAACACTCAAAACGTTAATAATAAGACACCAAGTTTTGTAAGCCATCTTACTAAGAAAACTGAACATTGATCTGATAAAGAGAAAAACATTGCATCGAAATTTTGTAATTTTGCTGTTAAATCGTATATGGCGTAAGTGTGAAGAAACTGATATTTATTAGTAAAGCTAGCAGGAGCGAGTGCAACACTGGTAGATTGCGAGTTACGCGCGAGAGAGGAAAAGTCCTTAACTTACTTTTGGGCGATTGTTAAAATATAAAGTCTTTCAAATTATCTGTTTTCTTTTTCTTTCTTTCTCTCTCTCTCCTCCCCCCTTTTTTTTTTTAAGAATTTGTTTTCAACAACAGTATCAACACTGTATTCATACTACGATACGCATGTCTTGTATCGTAGTATTTTTTATTGTAATATTTACATCATAATATTTCATAAAATACTATTATAAACCGTATGAAATAGGAACTCTGGAGGGTCAAGGTAAGATTGAGCAGGATACAGCTTTGCTCGCTCGTTTGTGCACCGGTCAAGATGTAAGATATTTCTCTCGCCTTTTTACAGCGTGCATTCGTGGTGTAGTGTTCTGCACGCTCGGCACGTATTCAAGAGGCCCAGATAAGCTATACCCATTGTTTCCCAGATAAGCTATACATTTGCGTATTTTGTTTTGTGTTTTACAGTTTTAAAAATTTATGTGATTGTTTTGAAAGAGTGTTTTTAATTTTAGTGACTGAAAATTTGTATATTTTACGGCTTACAATTTTCAGAATATTTAGAAGAAATAATATGTTAAATAAAACCTTTCGGATATGGTGACAAACTTAACGACTGGCTGTAGAATTTCAGAAGTACGTGAAATATTTCCATCGAGCCAGTAAAATCAAGATTCTATGACATCTAAAAATTTCAGATATTATGGAAAAACTTTGTAATTACCTTTTCTGTTCGGATAAGCTATATATACATATATAGGTAAGTTAGTCTGAACAGCGAATAGAGTAATAATTCAGAACTTTTTGTTCTTAGTTCAGTTAAAGAGACTGATTATATTACGATTGCGGCATGCGAATTTGTATATTATCAATCTACCGTCGTGTTTCTGTATTTTGAAACTAGAGATTCGGAATTTTTTTCCTTTTTTGTTTAAATCCGTATCATATGGAATTACTTTCATTAATAATTTTGTATTTATAATTCTTCCGAATACAAAAATTTTAACGCTTTAACAAATGTAAATTTTCTTTTTACCATCGCATACTTATTCAGGAAATCTGGCTTGAAGCCCTCTTATACAATCTCATTTTCTACTGTCCAGTTTATTAATATCAAAAGAAACATTTTATCTTAAAGATATTTTAGACAGAAGACCTTTTTGAAATAGAAGTTTAAGATTTGAAAATCGTCCACCATTATTTATTCATAGCATTTTTCTAGTTTTCGAAATTCCTGAATTTTTGAATAAATAGTTAATTTATTTCTAGATATTAAAAATGGCCTTTAGAAAATTCTCGAAAATCTAGAAATTCTTTGGATAAAAAGAAACTTATTTTAATGAAGTAAAAAAATCTGATGTGTTCACCACATGACTTCCTTGTACGGAATATCAAATAATATGCAATTTTTCTTGCATTTCGTTTAAACTTATTGGATTGAATTAAATATACTTCAACGATAGCGCATGAAGCATAATAGAATAAATTCACTCTTTAAAATTTACTGTATTTATTTACCATGGCGACACTC